GTGAAACAGAAACTAAGATCAAAAATGATGGTAAGGCAGCTATTAGTGTAGAGGCCCCCATCGATTTCTCATAGCCATGTCCTCTCAATTGGGTGTGAGAACTGATGCTCAGCAGTTATGAGTAATAAAGCAAGCTCAAATCAGGGATGGGAACTAGTACTGCAGGCATTCTGGAAGGGTCCATTTGCCTTAAATGCTGCTTTGAGTTTTGTTCAATGAAGTGGATAAAATCCATTATACCAGGTAAGCAAACAAAGAAGATGGCAACCCTTTGATAAACAACCTGGAACGTCACTGCTAAAATGTACAGAACTGGCAGCTGGGTGATAACATGCTCAAGGCAACTATGATTGACCTGAAACTTGATAGGGAAGCTTTGTCAATGGTTAGCCTATCAACAGGGAAGTCTCATCAAGAATAGTTCATTAACAGAAAACATTTTATATATAAATATATGTATAATAGAGACAGAGTGCGCAAGATGTATATAGTATATATAATATATATATAGAAAGAGCAAGTTGTAGGTTTCAGTGCAAGGATCTTCCCACAAATGGTTCAGGAAGTGTTCTCTCCATCAATTTTTCAGCTCAAACAGGGCCAGTTAATGCCATGAGTTTCTCTGCTGCAATGCTATGTTCCACTTCAGAGGCAAAAGAGTTTGAGGAGCTTGACATTGCTTTTAGATGAACCCCAAGGTAAAACATCATTACCTACTAGGTGATTTCAATGCCAGAATGGATGTGGGCCATAAGACAAGATCCAACTGCCTCAGACACAGGGACTGGAACGATCATGAAGAAGAGATGGAGACTACTACTACCACAAGCTTTGTGTAACCAGTCCCTTCTCTCAGAGGAAATCAAGCCATAAGGTGCCCTGAAGACAGTCAAGATCTCAGGGCCTGGCACCAGCTGAGTCTGGTCATGCCCAGACATAATTCTGAACAGTGTTCTCAACATGTGCAGCTACTGTAGTGCTGGCAATGATGCAGATCACTCTTTGGTATGCACTAGGGTTAGCATGCAACCTTGAACATTTCTCATTCAAAACAGAAATGATACCCTTGTATCAAAATCAGCCATGCTGCCTACCAAGACAAAAGCCAACAGAAGTTCCTCACAGCGATTGAAAAAATGGTCTTTGGCATTCCCAATTCAGATGCAAAATGGAATATGTATGGACATTAACAAGCGAGGTATGAAGATGGCAGACAGTGACAACTGGGAGACATTTGACAATGGCCATGATCTCTGGATGCCAAATATCTGGAACCGCATTTTAAAAAGGAGAGCAAAAGTGAAAAGCTCGGCTTGTTTCAAAAGAGGGTGCAAAGAACAAGAGCCAGTGAATTGTGTACTCATCTACCTCTAGCAAATGTAGTAGAGACTGCTATGCCAGTGTGCGGCTTCTGAGCCACACCAAATCAATGCTCAGAGTTAATGACCATAACACAACAAAACAGAAAGTTGCCACTACTAATGGTGCTATATAATAGGTTTTAGTCTTTTTTTTTAATTCACTAAACTTAGCTTTGAATTAAGAATTCCAGACTAAATGTTTAAGCTGCAAGATAATGAAATATAGATTTAAAAATGAGAGTTTAGCACAAACAGTTTTCAGCTCTTTTTTAAAAGAAATGTTCCTTAGTTCTATTTCAGATGTGGCACAGTTCTTATAGGCAATTGTCTCAGATTTGTTTCTGATTATTATTCACATCACAACATATATTTATGTTTGAAAAAGAATTACAGAAATCTGCCTTCAACTTTTCAAATGTAACACTCCAACAGGCAATTTTGTTTTAAAAAATCTATGATTTTTTAAAAAAAAAACTATTTTCTTTGGTTCAAATGGTTTATGACAGCTAAAACATCCTTGCTTTTAGTTTATTTTAGTTATAGCGTTGAATTTCATTTCCTTCTTTAACAAGAGCGTCATCTAGAGGATGATCTATGTATTGCAATATTCCTCTTGTAAATGTGAAAAGCTGTGAATACTTGTGACATACAGCATTAACTTCAACCTTTTCCAAGTACAGCACCCTAGTCTACATGGACAGGATCAAAACTATCATTTTATCTGCAAACCATCACTTATACAGCACCAGTTATAGCACGAAAGCCTCCTTACAGTATGAATATATTTAATCAAAACAAATAGTTTTAGTATGAACATCTGTATTATAATATTAATAATTAGTAAAGCAAATAAATGTGGTCATTACTCCCTCATTATTCTGGTCATCAAAAGAATGAAGGAATACTTTTAAAAAGGAAACCTCTAGGCATCAATGTTCTGCCCTAAGAGGTTAGGCACAACACAAGAGAAAACTTGACAATGCAATCTCAGAGGACAATCGCTTCCTGCATGGCTTACTTTCCCCACACAACCACAATCCTGGCTATCTCGGAATGCAAAGAGATTTGGATCAGACTTCTGGTACAAAACACATTACCAGAGACCTGAGCACAAAAGTTATTTGTTCTAAATAGATCTGTATCGCCTTTCTTTTGGCTTGAAAGAATTCAGACCTGCTGCCCATAGATGAATTTCCCCATTAAGATAAGCTGGCATACAGCAAAGCATGCCTTACAGAACGTTAATAACAAAAAAATAGGCACACAAAAAATTTTGCTATTAGTTTGTTAGTTAAAAGTTATTTGAAGGTTTTTGTGTCAAGTAGTAACATTGAGTAAGACAATTTTACATTACCCTATACAAACTTTGCAGGAGAAGTGTTCCAAGTGTTCCTTCGAGACACTGGTAAATCTTAATGTTTTGGGCAGCTTACTCTGCCTGTTGTCTGGAGAAATGACTGGAACAGGTGAAAGAGGCAGTGATATACGGTGGGATGTGGGCAGAATCTTAGTGCTGCTTGGTCAGGCTATTGTTTGTAATAAACTGGTAGGTCAACATTCTTGCTGATTTGTTGGCTGTGAAAATTGAACGTTAGTGTGTTTCTTGAAGGAGAATAGACAGATGTCATAAGAGAAGGTCACAGTATTATGATTTAAACTGAAAGAACTGTGGATGTTGTAAATCAGAAACAACAACAGAAATTTCTGGAAAAGATCAGGAGGTTTGGCAGCATCTGTGAACAGAAATCAGAGTTAACGTTTCGGGTCTAGTGACTGTTCGTCAGTGCCTGTTCTGAGGAAGGATCACTGGACTCGAAATGTTAACACTGATTTCTCTCCACAGATACTGCCAGACCTGCTGAGCTTTGCCAGCAATTTCTGTTGTTGTGTCACGGTATTAGGCGATGGTGTAGTGTTGGGAGATTTACATGGCCTCCCTGACATGCTTATGAAGGATATGTCCAGTACTGGACCATTAGATGTGGTGGTTAAGTTGACAGCTTTTGATAACAGCTGACTTTTCCCATTCTCTATCTTTGAAGCAGGTTTGATGTTCCCTCAAGTCTACTGTGGAGACTGTTTCCCCAAGGTACACAGGTCTGCAGTTGCACTGTGTGTCATAAATTCCTTGTTTACTGTGAGACGGTTTCTTGTTTTCGCGGGTACGAAGGACAGAGTGAAGCTTATTGTGCTGGATTAATATGTCCAATAACGTTATCATTTGGGCTAGGTGGAACCAACGTACTGGAGGCTGACTCTTATCTTAATGGAAATAGTTGTTATGGAGCTGGTAAGAGGTGAGCATATATTAATCATGCATGAAACAGAAGTCATTGAGTTAAGTGTAGATTTAAGCTGAAGTTCTTGTTGTAGGTGTTTCTTGTCACTGATGGAGTAGGGTTTATTCTTTCATAGGATGTGGGCATCACTGACAAGGTGAGTTGCCTAAGAGTCAGTCACATTGCTGAGGTCTGGAGTCAAAGGCCAAACTGCGGAGGGACATTAATGAATGACATGGGTTTTTACAACGAATGATGATGGATACTATTATTGAGATTAGCTCTGAATTATAGATTTACGAATTGAATTTAAATTCTACCAGCTGCCATGGTGAAATCTGAACTAATGTCTCAACAGCATTAGCCTGGGCCTCTGGATTACCTGTCCGGTGACATTACTGCTCCACCACCATGTTGTCTTTTAATGATGATGTTGGAAAACGAGTGGAAGGATGATGGTAAGATCAATAATTCATGATAACATCATCTTCCTCTATCGTAATGTCAATTATTGGTACTTAACATCCTGTAGGACACTATGGTGTTCTCTCCTGTTATGTTGCATGTTCTCAGAAAAGAACCCCAGTTTATAAGGGAAAAAGTGAATATTCCTCAGAGCCTACTGGAAACTGTTTCCATTGACCGGTGACTTTGGAATTCAAACAAAATACAATCCTATGTGATTGTAATATAATGCTTCGTTCAAGGATTCCATAAAGACCTCGTACTGATCATTGAAACAGCTACTGAATTGACAAATTACAACTCTTATTTTCTTTTTTATTTATCCCTCAACTCCATCCATCTGTTTTCATGCGTGAGTTGGGGGGGGTGTTACGATCAGTGAAAATCAGTGAATTTAAATCATAGACCTTAATTAGATTACCTGGTTGTTTAACTTTGCTCTGTTCAAGTTACAGTATTAATACTAAATTGTTAATTTCTATTTGAGTTATAACCTTGGTATCTCATAACTGTTATTCTTAAAGTCTGGTTAGGAACAACTGGGCAAGTTTGAGCGAGTCTGTTTTAGTTTGGCATGTTATCCTGGTGTTGTAACAGAACTTTGGCTGTTAAATATAAACTGGAGGATAAGTTTAGAGGATGGAACTCAATAATTAATGTGTTATTTAAGAAAATAGATCAAATAAAACTATACATGTGGAGTGAGCCACGCAGTTAAATGTAAACCTGAATCACAAAATGACAAAGTGAAAAGAAATTAGATGATTTTCTTTCTAAACCATTATGAAAAGCTTGTAGTACTCAATAAAAGGTTGAACATAAATGTATCCAAATTATGAAATGGTTTGCACAAGTACCTCATTAAAATTACAGTAGTTGTATAATTTTTCCTTACCTGGTCTTTGGATTTTGTTGCAGACTTAGAAGATTCATAGTCCTTCTTTGTTTCTAAAATCTTCCTGACAAGCACACCTGTAACAAAAATAGATTTTTCTCCATGTATCCTGTAGAATGAAATTTGCATTGTGTAAAATTCTTCCAGCTGTTTTACCACTTTTTTCCCCCAAGATTAAGTTGATGAAAATACAAGAGACAGAGTAGAAGGAAAATAGATTTTTTTTGCAGTCAGTAGCAGTGTCATACATTTTCAATTCAAAAGCAACTTAGGTTTATATTACACCTTTAACACAGCAAAACATCCCAAGGGAGGCTTCACAGGAGGTTAATCAGATGTTAAAAAAAATACCCAGGTGTAGCACTGTGTGTAATTTAAAGCTCCTTCAGGCTTTGAAAATCACACTCTACTATACTATTTTCAGGTTACTTGGCAGAAATTTTACTGGTCTATCATCTTGTGGTTTATCTTCTTTGTAGATTCATACCAACTGTGAACTAAGATAATATTAGACAGTCATTTTGTTGAACACAGGTTAAGGCTGCTATCAGATTGACATGACCCAAAACCAGATAAGACGAGACCATGCCGGTAAACTATCAGTCAACATTAAAGGTTCTTCTCCACTCCACTCATAAAAAAAAAATACATGTTTAGATAGTCCAAAGTAAAACCGTGTTAAAACTTATTTTGGTAAGATTATTATTTGGTCAAAACAAAAGTTTTTAAAAAGTTATAAGTCACCATATGGCTGGAATTGCACTTGGTATTGGCAGCTACATGGCACTTGTAAGGCTGGATATCAGAATAATTATACTTTGGCTTTGGACCCAGAAGTTTTCTCACTTAGAGTTTCAATAAGATCAAAAACAAATTATCTTATGATCACAAGAAGTTTGGATCCAGATCTACTGTGAAAAATTTCTGTTCTCCTCTTTTCCCAAAAAGAATTTCATGAAGATCCCAAAGAAAACACCATATACCAGGTAACTTAAAAACAAACACAGTAAGACAAGAGTCATAGAAAGCAATAAATGCAACAATTACTTTTTTTGAGACAGAAATGAGGGTTGTTTAAAGGGTTGTTAGTCTTTCAAAATCACTTGCCTAGTGATTAACAGAGTCACTGAATATATTCAAGGCTGAGTGACACAGATTTTTAATTGATAAGTGAGCTCAAATCATATCAGAATAATCTTACTGAATGGATGGGCAGCCTTGATAGGCCAAATGGCTAACTCCTACTTCTTATAACCTTGTGAAAACAAGTACAATTCAGAAAAATAAAATTTTCCTTTCGAGTAGCAATACCTATCTGATACAGTTATATGGGTTTTACCCAGTTTAGAATTACAAAAGTAGGAAACAGAGAAATAAAGAGATAGCAGGAACTGCAGATGCTGGAGAATCTGAGATAACAAGGTGCAGAGCTGGACGAACACAGCAGGCCAAGCAGCAAGGCTGATGTTTCGGGCCTAGACCCGTCTTCATTTCTGAAGAAGGGTCTAGGCCCGAAACGTCAGCCTTCCTCCTCCTCTGATGCTGCTTGGCTGACAGAGAAATAAACATATCTTGGACAGCATATAAAGAGTATTTCCCTTCTGAAAGCTAGGGGGAAATCCAAATCATGAATTTATGACTTGCCCACAACACAGTCTATGGATTAACATTGTCTAGTGGAATCCGGACACTTTCTCACACATGGAAGCTATAGTAAACAGTAGCTACAAACATATATAGATGCACCCTAGTGGCATCTTGTTCCTAACTCTACACATGGAATGATGCGCATTTTTTTAAACAACAAGTAATTACCATTTTACATCAAAACAAATTCAGAAACGTATGAAATGTCTTGTTGGCCTTGTTGTAGGAGATTGCCTGTGGCCTATTAACTAAACCCAGAGGCTTAGATGTGAAATATATTTTCACACATCTCTAATCCAACTCATTTATGACCATTCAAACAAAAAACTGGCCAATACTACTAAGTAACGGATGTTTGATTATTCAATTGCACCTTTGTTTTCTGGACTTCATCCGTGAGAGTTAATAAGTTGCAATGGAATGGAAACTAGTCACAACCATAGAATAAACAATGGCCATCAGTACATGGAAGTTCACCACGAATATTTAAATCACAGGGCTGGCAAAAATGGATGCTTAAGTAACAACTCTCAATTAATGCAACATTTGCTATTGGGGTCAAAAACAGAAGTTGCTGGAAAAGTTCAGCAGATCTGACAACATCTGTGAAGAAAAAAAAAAATCCGAGAAATGTTAAGGGGTAGTAGGAACTGCAGATGCTTGAGAATCTGAGATAATAAGTTGTAGAGCTGGATGAACACAGCAGGCCAAGCAGCATCAGAGAAGCAGGAAGGCTGACGTTTCGGGCCTG